CATGCCCTAAATCTACGACACGGGACCCACGGCTTAAAGTCCCTCCCGGAGGACTTGTTCCCTGAATTTTTCCACTCTTAAAAATTCCACGACCTCCGCTGGGTTTTTGAACCCGCGTAAATTAAATGTTACATGAGAGAATACCTTAAATTGGGGTTCCCAGTACTCCTAAAAGTGTCCTAAAGACATTGATTTAGATAATTAGGAAAAGAAGTAGATTATTTTCATTTTTTTTTATGGACTTGCTCCTGACAGCAATACTGAAGTACTGACAACAGCATAAAGCAGTCTACTTGGAACTGTGCAGTTGACATGACACCAGAGGAACTCACAGTATTTATAGATGCTTTACAGAATAAGAGCCAGTTCATTAACATTAGTCAGAGGAGTTGATTAAATGACATTTTTGTTTTTGTGAGCTTTCTGAGCTTTATGTTTTTTTGACATTTTTGCCTATTTCATTTGTACCGAGGCAGCACAGAACTAGGGTGCAGAACATTGTGGAAACAAAGAAAAAGTATGTCATGTTCTACATTAATGGCAAGTGCTGAGAGGTGTATCAACAAGACATGAACACTGCCATTCACAAGGGCACAGTTGGCTTCATAATACATTTATTGTAAAAAGTGTGCAGTTCCATGAAATAAATTAAGTATTGTCTGTAAATATGTGCTTGCAGATGACAGGCGAGGATTATGTATATGTTACAGATGGAATATGAAGTACAGGTCTTTGTAATATTCAAGATATTGAGATCAGCTATCACACAAACTTCTATTAAGACCTTTTTATATTTATTCCTACTCACTACATATTCTTTCCACCGAATGGACATCATCAGGTGCAAAACAAACATATGCCCACACTGTAATACAGAAGGTTTTATATATATATATATATGTGTGTGTGTGTGTGTGTGTGTGTGTGTAGGGGCATATGAAAAGGCAAAACACTGCATGTAGAAAAGAAGGCTTCATGGGGTTAATAATATTAGAAAGAGACTTTCAGTACTGCCATCTGCAAACATATGTGGCAAGACAGTGTTCTCCCATTTGTAAGATAATGGGTCAAGAAATGTTAATGTACTTGTAGGAGACATGTTCACATTTGCATAAGATCACTAAATATATCTGATATTTTGTACAGGTGACTTGGGACACGTGACATCTGTGAGCAACCCACAAGTGGAAGAGGGAGACTGCCGGTACTTGCCCTGTGAGATACTACAAGAAAACTTCAGCCATCTCGCAAAAGCAGACATCTTTGCTCTAGGTTGGTATTATGTCTTGTAAATACTATCACATGTATGTGACTGGACATTGAGTTTGGATTTATAATTGATTTTATTGAACACTTAGAATTCGTAACTACAGATAGTTCTAAGTGCAACCTTTTATTTGACCATCACAACACAGCAAATATAGAACTTCAAGGACAATGCTCAGTATAGTTCTGCTACATGTTTTGGCCATGAGTGGCCATCATCAGGCAAACGCACTTCAACAATCGTACACCATTGAATTGCAGTTCATAAAATTTGATACAATGTTATAAATCATATAAGTTAATTTGCACAAGAATACAATAAGTAGGTTATTTAAAACAATAACAAGTCATATATAAAATTAAAATTTGATTGATGTTTAGTAACATCGGATCGGTCATTGGTTTTACTTTTCATAGATTTCTGTCGATAAATAGTAAATTTGAGTTTCTTATAAAATTGTATAGGAGATCCAATAATGTTGTGAATTAATTAACGGAATAGTTGGGGCTTCATCATACGGAGAATTGTACATATTGTATGGAAAGTAATGAACGAGTCGTTGAGTAGTCAGCTTCATGCCCAACCACTTTATACCTAATGAGAATCCCCAGTACCCTTTGAATAGGGGGCTGGATGGGCCTCATTGCATGTCTAAGTCCTGTGAAGAAGAGAAGAGTCTCTTACTTCTACCAGGAAACAAACCCAGATTCTTCCATCGTCCAGCCTGTTCACTTGATTGAGCTATCCCAGTAATATTCAGAGTAAATGAAATCCATCACTAAAACATTCATAGGACTGGAAAGTCAAATTGTAAGCTATTGTGCACTTCAGTTTGATGCATGTGAACCACTTGTCCGATATAGTCTATATGAAATGTGTCTTGATGCAGGTTTGACCATGTACGAGACTGCTGGAGGAGGGCCATTGCCTAAGAATGGTGAAGAATGGCATAACATACGAGAAGGAAAGCTGAAAGGGTTGCAGCAATATAGCCAAGACTTCAATGATCTGATAAAGGTGAGGTATATGAAAGGGATAAGGCAAGAAGCTCTTCACTGGGAAATTTTCTTCTTTCTCTAGTTGTCTCTTTTGGTCAGAGAATTCCTAGAATGCAGCTTTTAGTTATCTTCAATCTGTTTATCCATCACTGAGACAAAATTCGACACACATTTACTCACTCTCTTTCTCTCCCCTTCACTTTGGACACCAATGCTTCAAGTGGGATTCAAACCCATGATCCCAGTGTTAGAGCAGGCAAAAAGACGACGGTTCATGCCTTAGACTGCACGGCCACTGTGAATGGCAGATTCACACTCTGTGGCCAGTAATCCACAAGCAAACTATACCAACCAAGCGACCGCTGCATGACAGCAAAGTTAGTGCTAACTTTTGCTGATAGAGGGTTTCACATGGTCAGCACAACGGTTTCCTGCAGCCGTTAATCTCGGTTTTCTAGACCGGAGCCGCTGTTTCCTAGAAATAGCTTCTCAGTTATCCTGATGAGGCTGAGTGGACCTCATTCCAGACCCATTACTTTTCAGAAAATCTGTAGTGCCGGGAATCGAACCCGGGACCTCTGCATCTGTTTCCTAGAAATAGCTTCTCAGTTATCCTGATGAGGCTGAGTGGACCTCATTCCAGACCCATTACTTTTCAGAAAATCTGTAGTGCCGGGAATCGAACCCGGGACCTCTGCATCTGTAGTGATGAACTCTGACCACTAGACCATAGAGGCGGTCGCTCCACACACACTAAATTAATAATGTTATTTTTATATATTGTATTTACACCCGTAATATTCCCCTTCACATAACTTCCCTGCCCCATTTTAGAAAAGGAAAGGGGGAAAAAAATCATGTAGTTTTCCTGTCTTGTATTAGGCAAAAAAATATTCATAAATGGCCTTAAAGAAAAGTGGCTGCACAGCCAATCAGCTGTTTGTTAGTTTCAAAATTCCCTACCATGAGACCGCTAGACTACCATTGCTGTCTGTGGATGCCGCCACTAATTAGGAAATCCCCAGTAAACCATGCTGCACATGATGAAACCATGTGCTAGCAACAAGTCTATGATTTGGTGGAAGGTGTGAAGTTTAAAGCAATATATAATGGGGAAGAAATACAACAGTTATGCTGCACAGTTCAAATAATGAGTTATTTTATATGCTAAAAGGAATGGTAATTGAAGTACAGCCCGTAAAGTTTTCTGTTGCTCCAGTACGTAAGTTACTGACTAAAACAAAAAGATGAACTACAGAAATAAGAAAGAAATTGATGGTGGCATGAGCCCAGGAAGGAACATTTATTCTAGATTAACAATAGCATTCACATAATTCTCTCTTCCCCTTCAATATTCCAGGGTTCAGAAACTTGGGGGGAACACAGAGTTTTAATTTTTGCTTTTAGATAGTGTCATAGATTAATTTGATTTCTTTATTACAGCAAATGATTCATCCACATCCAGAGATGCGCCCTTCAGCCGTTAACCTTATCCAGCATCGTGTGCTCTCTCCTTTTGGAAACCAGTCAAAGGCACAATTACGCAGAGAATTAAATGCTGAGAAATTGAAAAATGAGATTCTGGCCAAGCAGCTTGAGAATGCTGAGAAATGTTTCAAGTCATTACCTGCTAATTTAATCCAACAGTTCAGTGGAAATGCTTCGGACTTGGCCGAAGGCAAGCGTCCAGTGTCAGCTCGTTCATGGTTGACGGGAAAGAAAGTGAACCGGAGTCATAGTACAACCAATTTTTGAACTTTGGTGTAACAGTTTAGAAGTTATTTTTGGAATAACTGTGAAGTTACAGCACCTTTTAATTGTTAACAGTCTTCTTGTGCTACCAATTAATACTATTTGCTGATTCCAAGAACGTGTAATCCACTGAAATCACTACAGTTTCAGAACATTAATTCGTAGAATAGGTAGATGTTAAGATTTTTTTGTGAAATTTTATAACTGTTTAATATTTTGCATGATCTTCGTCTTCTGTATTTGAAGAATACGCTTTGGTGTGAAGCCTGTTACAGTTTTATAGTTTGAATTAGATAAATTGCTGATTCTGTGATAATCTTATCACTCTGAATATGTATAATTGAGTGTTATTTATTTTTGTGAGAATAATGGAACCCAACCATCTTCCTGTATCAAATATTTCAGGTGATGCTAGTATAAATAAAAATGACTTGAAGTGAATATATTTATTATTTGCCCTTCTCACTCTTGTTGCAGAAATTTCTGGAATTAAGTATGGCCTGAGTACTTGAAAAATTCCCATCCAGCAGGATTTTGAATTCATATATGACGAGAAACATAATGTATATAAGCATTCATAGTTACATAGAAGTTTTCTTAAAACAAAGTTTTCTCATGGACAGATTGTTTTATTTAGAGTTATTTCATTTATCTAGGCCTAAACTGTCTGTTGTGACAGTAGGCTGTCAGCTTCCAAATAAGTTTCATATATTTGATTTGTTTCATTCTGGTCCGTCACACTAACAAAAAAAGAAAATGAAAAGGTTAAACTGCTCCGTCCACTGTGACTGGTGAAGATTTTTCTTATTTCAATTCTTCATGTCCTTACATGTTTCAATCTTTAGAGACCATCATCAGAGGGACATCAATATACAAATGGAAACTACTATTACAATATATGTTCTGAGCGTTAAAATATACGTATAATGCTGATAATATACGAATGGATATAAAATCGAAAGTTTTTACAACTACAGTGGCTGTCTTAATATATTACATTTTTTTATAATTGGTTTGTTAAGATTTCGTTAGAATTTATAAACAGCATAACTTAAACACAATTGTAAAAACAACAGTGTGCCACGAACACTCACAGGATGTCATCAAAGAACCCTCTTCTCAAGAACGACAGGTGGCACACGTTTGGCCCCCATCAAGAGAAGTAATAAGAAAGAGGACATGAACCTACTTGGTTTATAAATTCTAACAAAATCTTAACAAACCAATTGAAAAATTTTAATATGTCAAGACAGCTGCTGTAGTTGTAAAAACTTTCGATTTTATATCCAATCATATATTATCAACATTATATATATATATATTTTAACACTCAGAACATATATTTTAATAGTAGCTTCCAACTGTATTGATGTCCCTCTGATGATGGTCTCTAATGACCGAAACGTGTAAGGGCATGAAGAATTGAATTAAGAAAAATCTTCGCCAGTCACACTGGATGGAACTGTTTAACTTTTTATAATAAAGTTACATATAATCATAATGCATATGAACATATTCTCCTCATGCCTTTAATCATAATTGTTAATGCATTTTACTGATGTTTACATTATACTGATCTGTTTTTCACATATTTAACCTTTAAACGCCGGACTTCGAAATAGTGGTAAGCTTGAGCTGGNGGAGCAAAAATATTAACTGTCCTCATTTGTGTTTATTTGCCTCCAGGTGGAACTGTATGAAGGTTTTCTTTTCACATACATTTTTCTTGAAATTGACATGAAACACTAATCACCAAAACAATTTTATGTGAGGTGTGGTAAAGTGATGCATTATTTTAAAATGTACTTAACACATATTAATGCAAAGGTTCTTATTTGGAAGTTGAAAATTATAATTTTTACAACCAGTGCATCATTACCCCATCTTACTTACATATTGTTCCTGATATACTGTGTGGGTTTTTTTAGATCTGGCCATTCTTAATACGTGAAGAATAGACAGCAGATTTGGTCAAGTTGACTGAGATAAGAATTGTGGGGTGTGTATGAGTTATATCAGCGCTTATATGTTTCTGCATCACCCAGTGTTTATCTCACAGTGCAAGTGCAACTACTGTTATGCTTCTTGTCATACATCTCATGCATAACCCAGAGGCCAGGTGTATAACACAGCCTGTAACTGGGATATTTACACACCTTTAAGAACTAGAAAAATTCTCACAATTTTTAGTCATTCCATACTGTGTGATTGTGGACTGTTTTCTAAACAAATTAGCAGAATATGCTTCTCTGCATTTCATATTTTGTTTCTTGTAGCTTAACTAAGACCATTGGCAGCTTGCGAAATATTGAGTTATGAATTGTGGTAGCGTACCGGACTGACTTTAATTTTTGGAATCTGAGAGAAGCGTGAAGGCAGTTAAACAACTTTATATGCCTTTCATATATTCAGCCTTAGATGAAGTGTCACTAATGTAATAATGAGAGTGGCATTTTTATTTTTGTACTTCTGTTTCAGACATTCCAAAGAGCAGAATCAATTTATGTTATGTCTGTGAAACACATAAGATAATGATTGTGAGGAACACTGATTCAGCTGTAACAGTATTATAGACAGTGGATCTTTTAATTTTATTGTTGCTGTAAATTACTGAATAACCTTATCAAACATCCACCATACAAAGAACAGGAAGATTAGTGATAGCAAGTTTTAAATCCTTGAAAGCTCGTTGCTGATGCAGACTTCAAACAGACTTAATGTCCTTCTACCGAAACTGATTAAGGAGGAGGGGGCCCTTTCCGTAAATTGGTGGATGAATTTTTTTAAAGAGAACATATAATATTTGGGCTGGGGAAATTTGGGACATGAGTACAAGGACATGCAAGAATTTTAAAAGCATGCAAGCAGATATATTGTGGATGGGATTGAGCAACTTGGCAAAAGTGAAAGGGACCCAAACTCACTTTCAAAGGAGCCATATAAGAAAATGCTTGACTGGTGGGCGAAGGTCAGAGCTTCTGATTATTAGGCAAAACAAGAGTGACATTCAGAAGAGTCAAATGGTCCACTGAACAATGAGTGGGTGTACATGAAGTTGGGTTGGGCCTGCTTTAGTCCATGTCAGATTGGACATGTGTGTAGGCACTCTTCAGGGTTGAAAAGTAAGCCAGGGAGCTGCCTACTTCATGCTGGTAGTTGGTTTCTGGTCGACCCTCATGATGGAAGCTATACATTCCTCTGAAATAGTGATGAATTTCTACTGGACTAGATGGTATGTTCAAGGAAATAGTTCTCTTCATAGTCACTGCTGTGAGAGCCTTAGACCGAACAAGTTCACAATGGTTCTTCACTTAGTAGTGTTCCACAGTTTTCTAAATTTTTTTTTTTCATGTGACAATCTTCAAAACATGGAATACCAACAACAGAACTACACTGGATACTTATAGAAGAATGTCCACTAAAGTACTTGTCTTCAAAAAGTGAAACATTTTAAATTATTACTCATGTCAATTAAAATATGTAACTACTTTAACCAATATTACTTTTAACTTAATTTTAATTTAATTAATTTATGCTTCCTTCAACAGGGAATTGATTTAGTGAAGTAGCTTACACATAAAATATACCTGAAGATGGCCTTAAAAAGGACAAAACATGTTATATAAATAGTCAAATAGGCAATGAAAATGTGACAGTATAACAGCAGCCGTGCGTCTATCGAACCATTATAAAAGCTGCGTTAGTAAGACTGAGAATAAATATTAACTCACTCCTACTCTTCCAAGTAAAATCCTACTTCTTCCTCCTCCAGGAATCTAAGACAGCTTGCTTAACTTTTTCTAGCAAACTTCTTGTACTATATTTCAATTTGATTAGGCCATTATTCCAACTAGTCCACAGTTTGACCAATACATACTCAGCTTTGACTGATTAACGAGCATTGACATATTCACGTACAGATTGACATCTGCAAAGGACACACTTGTAGGGGCCCAATGCATGTAAAACATGTAAAGAGAATAACTGAGGAATGTATGTAAGAGAGGAGAGACAGTAGTGGTAAGAGCAATATTACTGTGATGGATAAGTGGTAATGAAACAATATGAATACTTATTAATCTGGACCAGTTATAAACACTTTAAAACAATATAAATTATGGAAACAAATTATATTAAATGTATTAAGAAGATGGTGAGGAAAACAAAGATTGGTGTTATGAAAAATTTGTCAGACACAAATTCAGTATTGAGGGCATGCAACAATGCCTAAATAAATGAAAATGGAACTGCCATTTATAACAATATCTGGCATTCAAGAAACCTTTTATGTAAAAGCTGGTGTGACTTGCATTCCAGAAATCATAGGTTTGATATTGAGCAAATACAGTAACTATGATAAATACATATTATGAAGATATATGGATGTTAGGTAGCAGCAGAATACTAGACAATGGCATTTGGTCTTACATCTTTCACAGTACTCCAAAATAGCTATCTCCAAAACATACATAAATAAATGTATTTATAAACTATAAAGAAAAAATAATACATGATATAACAACAAATAAAATATGTTTATCTTAAACAATATTTGCATTTTCTCATACTGCACAAACAACAGAGTATTATAACAAGCTGGAAATGGCATGGCACTTGGTATGAGAGAAAAGTAATACCTAAGTGAATGTAAATGTAGGTGAACATGGCCAATATTGTTCCTTAAAACAATATTTCAAATGGGTAAATACACACGTTATATTTACTTTTGTGATTCCTTGCATTATTTTATTTCCCTTTTCAAATTTTGAAAAGGAAGTTAGTGATTTTTTGTCCATGAGTAATTTCCTTCACTACTTCACTGTTTTAGTGTGCCATATTTATATTATTAGTCAGAAACATAATTTGGTAAAACTATAACAGCATAACAGTTCTGACCATTTGCTCACACGTGTTTAATAGTCACAATAACTGTAAGATTTACAGGAATATTATCATTATCATTGTACTGGACATAAAGTATGTTTCATTTTTCTCCACATCTTCTGTTTGAAACATTTATCAATTTGATAAACATATAAATACTCAGTGAGTTATGTTCAAGACACATGCAGCAATGCATGTAGGTCTTCATGAAAAGGACTTTTCACTGTTGTCAAATTTTAATTAAAAGGACAATGTATTAACCAATTCTTAGCAGAACTCCCTAATAACAAATTTCATGAAAACTCTTTGAGTGGTTTTTGAGTTGTTAAATGCAGATGGATTTGATGAAGCTAACAGGCATAATTTTGCAGCTCTTTTGCTGTTGTTGTTGTTTCACTGGCTCTACAGCCCCCTGGGACCCTGGCCTCTGATTTTTCAGTTTCATGATCATTTTACAGATGGTAGGACTCCCTGGATGAGTAATCAACTCATCGCAAGGCCTCTGCCTAAACACAGGACAACACATACACATACCAAACATTGATGCCTTGTGTGGGATTCGAACGCACAATCCCGGCATCCAAGGGAACGAAGACAGTACATGCCTCAGACTGCAGCTCTTTTGCTGTGAACACATCAAAGATTTTGAGTCATCATCAGAGTTTTCTTCACTTCACTATATAAAGCTTCATGTTTTCAGTGAAATTATGGTTATTAACATTACCTTCAAAGAAACAGTAAAGTAAGAAAACAGAAATAGTCATGTGGTTACAATAGGATATACAAGGGAACGTGGGGTGTGAAGAATACTGGCTGATGTGTAACAGGACTAGAGTAGGTAACAATAAGTTTAAATATGATTCCATTCTATGGTAACTAGTATATAAGCAAAATATTCAAATTCAGAGAAGAATCATTAAAATCTCCAAGCAAAACTGTATTGAACAAGGAATCACTCTGTCCTGCTCCAAAGTGAACAACTTTAATAAACAAGGATATCCTGCAACTGAAGATAACCTTAAGGCAGTCTTCCTTAGGTAACGTCTCATACTGATGTATGCATTGTTGTATGTCACAGTGCAACATCACGGTACTTCTGTAGATCATCAGACTCAGACAGGGATGTCCTGCTCTTGTTAAGAAACTTAGGTTGTCCATACAGACAGAAATCACTTGGCTGCAGAACATTGTACACTCTTCTCGCATAGCACAAACTACCACCACCATTGTGGCAGTATCGTAAGTTGTTCAGCTCATCCATTGAACCTGCACGTCTTAATCTAGTGCTGTATCTCAACATTCTTCTGTCTAAGCTTTGGGTAGCATTCACAGGGACATAGTCCATTGTTGTATATGAGTTCATTCTCCAGAGGTCACTGTTACTGAGATCTCCTAGTGACTGTGACCTGCTGAGCCTATACTGGGGCTGCTCCATATCTCTCAACATGCCAGCAGCAAGCATCCCATTAAAAGTTGCAGCATTGAATTCGCTCACTGTACCTGGGTCATTAGGTGTCCTGAAGTAATGCTGATTTCCTGAATAATGGCTACCAGGATTTATGTGACGATGAACCACAGAAGGTGATCTGACAATGAGAAAAATGCAGGGTATTAAACAATAATGCAATGACTAAGAAAGTCACGTGTGAAACCATAAAGAACTTCCTGCTGTGAAGGGCATATTATTGTTTGTTTCTTAGGTTGTTTAATGTTGTCTTGTTAGCTTTTGAATTTGGTATTACACAATGAGAAGTATTAAGAGGCAAGGCGATAGAATAAGAACTTGTTGAATTCCATCTGAGGTATAAAATATGATGACACAGATTTTAATTTGCCTTCTCCAGTTTAATAATTACACATTTGACAGATTGTCTTTTAGTTATATTCGCAATCTCGCTTGCCAACTACAATGAAAGACTGAGATTTAAGGTTCTTACAGGGGAGACTATGAAAATTACTGTCCTCTATATATGACACAAAGTAGTCCAGTAGATGCATATCAACTTTTGGATGAATGTCCTGCTTCCATCTTCAGGATGGAAGAATCTCTGTACCTCTTGAGGAAGGACAAGGAACAGATTCAAAGGTTCTTGAATATATGGATATTATGTTTCTACACAAATGATAAATATGTAAAATTTGAGGTTCTCAAGACAGTGACTACAAAAGTTACTTATTTCTGGAACATGATGCCATATGATCTGGTAGACACTTACCAATGTATAAGAGGAAAATACTGCCTCAAGAAACCTACATATCAAAAAAATCTTAGCTGCTTTACTCAATGTCCTTCTTCCTGAGATACAGAGGCTCTTTTACCCTGAAGAAGGATTCAGTATACTCCCCCAAAACATTGGTAAATATCTACCAGACTATATTCCATCACACCCCAAAGGAGAGTATTCTTCAATAATGCAAGGGTTCAAAATAAACAATATTAATCTTGTGGCACCATTTTTGCTATCAAAAGTCATTTGTTAGCTGCGAAAGAAAATACTCAAAGCACAAGAGCAAAATGTAATTTAAATATATTAATTTTGTATATATCAACAACAATCTAAAAAATCATAATCTCAGACTAAGATAAGTTAGATGGCCCACAATGAAATTTGAAGAGATACACAACATACTAAGGACTTACCTGGCAGGATGAGTCCTATTGACAACTGACGCTATACTGCTAAGACTATTTGTTGATCCCATAAATGCAGCATTTGTGTAGCCAGCAGCTTGAGCTATTCCATTTTTTGGATGTACATTAGTTGCAATGTTAGAAGCAGTACTTCTACTTTCTGCAAGGATTGATGCCTGCCACACACAAAACCTACCATGTTAATATTACTGAGTGATATTCAGTTGTATGATAAGAATATCTATATACTAATTTTATATGAATTATTACTTATTTTAAATTTTAAGAGGGACAGGACTTAAAAAAGCTGATACACAACAGTAAATTTAACTACTTTATATTTTTGATAGCTTACTAACTCTGTGAAACAGACTTCTCCTTGAATAGTTGATAGGTATTTAACTAACCAAAAATTTCCTGAGCTCACAAGGTCATGTGTCTGCAACGTCCTTATTATTAAGTGCAAGAAATAGGAAAGTATGAGCTTTGAGTAGTTTACAATACCATACCTTTCGTAACAGATATGACAACTGTCATGTGCAAAATTTTTAGACTATATAGAATGAACACAAAAGGGTTTAATGTTCAGTACAAATTCTCAGTTGCTTAAGGAGATCAAAGAATGAAAAAAATATATAGCTGTAAAAGATATATTTATTTTTTGAGTTGCATATAATGCTCCAACCAGACATAAGCCTGGACTTGAGCTGTCCATGCACTACTGATATGATACCAGCACCCATGCACATGATATTGAAATTTATTTTTGGTGCACTTATTCAATCCATCATTAGCATAAACTACATACATACCATCGAATAATTTTATGCTTAGTAAACGAGAAAAAATGTGGAATGCAGTCATGGCCTAATTTGTGCCCATTCTTCCATTATTTACCTTTTCCTCCATCTCTTCGCTTTTAGCTCTCATAAATTATTCTATGTATCAAGCTTTCTTTTGATTGCTTTCATAACTTATCCATCCTGTGTTCACTTTTTAAGTTTCTCAACATAACTGTCTCCTGAGAAGATTTTTTTAGTGTCGCACCTAACCCGAACCTAAAGGTTCCACTGTGCCGCCCATCAACATAACTACATAATTCTACATGTGATAAGGGCATGCAATCCTCCCACCATGCCCTGGTAGTAGCCCATGTGAAGGTGGTGAAATATCTGACACCATGAAATAATAATGTTCTTTTTCCAGAAAACCAAATTAAAATCTTCAAGAAAATAGTCCAACAATTATGGACCTAATGTAGCAAGGATAAAATCAGCAAAGAACAGACAGTTACTTGTGAAAAGGAAGGACTTGGCATTTAGCAATGATAGTTATTGACTCAGTAATGAAATTGTCATGCAAAATTAGAAAATAAATAAACACACAATTCTGTATGGGAATCCATCGTAACACAACAACATAACAGTCAAGGTCAGCATTATCTTAGCTACATGTTTCGGCTTTTAAAGCCAACACCAGGCAAAATACATGGTTACCATATTCACACACTCTTGAACTACAGTTCATTGTGACAGTAGAGCAGGATACTTGATTAAGTTACACTATAAAATACAAGGTATACAATGAATTATAAAATTATTATAAAAACGAAAGTCATGTAATAAAATATGGTTAAAAACTCTTTATGTGATATTTCATATTATGAAATAATATAATATACAGTGGAACCTCGCTTAACGAGCATAATTTTTCCAGAATCTTACTTGTAATGTGAAACACTTGTTAAGTGAAACAATACGATAATGCGTTCCATGCCAAAAAAAAATACTCAAAAAAATTTATGTATAACGTTTATTCAAAGAAAATTATATATACATTGTTAAGGAGCGTGAATCATCTTCATCTTTTCTTCTATGCGGAATGAATCAACCTAGAATGCGAATTCGATTTGCAGAAAAAAAATCGAAATAATTAGTTTATTATTTATGATACATGTCTAATTCTTTTTTACTAGAAAGCTGTCTAGAGACATTTGTTTTTGCCGACGCTTCAAAATTTGGTGAAAATGCGACACAGCATTTTCATTAAATAAATTTGTAGCACGCATAGCCACTGTCTTATTAGAGCGATGCTTCTCAATGTATGATGCAACAGTTTCTCATGCTTTCAGCATTTCTCTCATTGTGCCAGAAAATTCTTGCTTTGCTGTTACCTCCTCCTCCTCCTCTGACAAACTCTCCTCCACAACTTCTTACTGTGAAACACAATGCAACTCAAAATCGTGCAAATCGTTGATGTAGGCCGATTGTATGTGCGTGCTAGATCAGCCATGCTCGCACCTCGTTCTCGCTTTTCAATGATTTTACGTTTAATTTCTACGGTTATTTTTATTCTCTTATGGTTGTCTTTTTGTGGCTTTTTCTTTGGGGACATTTTTGCAAGGGTTATTAAACTTTGCACAAAAGAAAATCACAAATAATATGTCTGGATACAAGTTTGGAAAAATGTGTGATCACAAGCGACTTTAGAAAAAACTCTTAAACTACATTAGCTACTTATAATCTAATGGAGAATATTTATAGGGCTTTAAACAACAAATATATAGCGGGTGGAATTTTTTGTGATCTGAGTAAGTAGGCCCAGTGCTCTTTTTACTATATGTAAATGACTTACCAAAAATTATATCTGACCTATCCAAACCAATATTATTTGCAGACGATACAAGTATCCTTATCTTTGATAAGAATCCTGCAAATTTAAAATAAGAATAAATAAATTATTTGAGCTGATAAATGAATGGTTTAGGAAAAATGAGCTAGTAATAAATTATGAAAAAACTTATTTTCTACAGTTTAGAACTAAAAACAGTAAAAACTTAAATGTTAAAGTTAGTTATTTAAACAATCAAATTCCAAGTATTTCTAATATATCGTTTCTGGGATTAAAAATTGAAATTTTTTTAACGTGGGATAGTCATATTGATGCAGTAATTGATAAGTTAAACAGATCCTGTTTTGCAATCCAATCAGTTAAATCCTTTTTACCACTGGAGACATTAAAAATTATGTATTTTTCCTATGTACATTCTATAATAATGTATGGATTAATATTCTGGGGTAACTCCCCGCATAGTATAAAAGTGTTTAGGATGCAGAAAAGGATAATTAGGATTATAACAAATACAACAAAGAGAACATCGTGTCATAGTTTGTTTCAAGAATTGGATATCCTCCCGCTACAAGCTCAATATATATTGTTGAGTTCCCTGTTTGTTATCCTAATTAAGAATTATTCACATTCAACTAACAAATGCATAATTGTAGTACCAGATCTATCTGTGATCTGCATTATCCGCAAACTAGTCTAACACAATTCCAAAAAGGAATATGTTACATGGGGAGTAAAGATCTTTAATCATTTGCCACCAAAAATCAAATCTATGTCTAATGACTTGAAAAATTTTAAAATTCAGTTGACAACATTTTTATTGCAAAACTTTTTTTATACATGTGATGAATTCTTTAGTAACAAATTTACCTAGAAATAAGGATAATAACATAAACAATTTTAATATTCCATAATTTTATGTATAGTGATGTACACTGTAAATTTAACACATGTTTTTTTATCTATTATAATGATTATAAGCTGTACATATATATTTATAATTGGATTGTACTAGATTAACTATGTGACTGGTTCTATATCTATGTATATGGATTTATGGACTATACAATGAATGAATGAATGAAAGACGCTAGCAGAACAAGTGCTAATCACAGACTGATGTAGCGAGAGCACAATCCGGGACTTCCCCTCTCGTCACTCATTATGCGAAATGTCGCTCATTAAGAGAGTCATTTTTTTTTTTACAATTTGTTTCGCTCGTTATGCGAAATACTCGTTAAACAAGGTTCCACTATATTATGAAACATCACATGAAGAGGTTTTAACCATATTTTATTACATAACTTTCGTTATTATAATAATTTTATAATTCATTGACTTTATACCTTGTATTTTATAGTGTAACTTAGCCAAGTATCCAGCTCTACTATCATAATGAAATGCAGTTCAAGAGTGTATGACTATGGTACATATGTATTTTGCCTGATGATGGCTTTAAAAGCCGAAACATGTAGCTAAGATAATGTTGACTTTGATCATTATATTGTTGTGTTACAACGGATTCAAATAAAGAATTGTATATAATAAACAAAACAGGATGCAAGAAACTAAATTTATAAATAAACGTTATGATATGAAGAACAAATTTTTAAAAAATATTCAAATACTTTAAATTCAGCTTTCATATTGTGACATGACACCTGAAAGCTGGAATAGTCAAGCCAGAGCAGATGTTCATTGCTAGGCAACGACCCGGTGAACAGGTTCCCACAGAAATGAACACACACACACACACACGCAACAATAGAGGAACGCTCATTTATATGCAATTGTGAGGAATTGTTAGGAAACCATGTTTTCCATTTGGGCCGCAACAAGGTTATATAACAATTAGAATAGAGGAAGTCTCTGGAGATGGCAGTCAAAGATGATGGAGAAGAGAAGACATAGTGTGTCATTTAGTATTCTGTGAAGTATAGTATCAAGTTGTATAAGTGTGCAATAAATCCAGTCATCAGTCCTAAAACTGTATAAATGCACCACCAAATATCTGGCAATACAAACCATGTTTAGCGCTTGCAATCTTCTTAAAACAACCTTCTCCTCTTTCCATGTTGAGTACAAAGACTGCACACATACGAGACCAGCAATCTGCATAACAAGAAGAAGCAGAATTGAAGGGTCCAGTGAAAAAGCAAGGTTGCTCTAATTCTGGCCAAAATTTAGTTTTTCGTTTTTAAAAATCACCCATTGCACTAACAGAAGAACAGTGTGGCTCAAATAAATAATTACAAGTTATAGTGAAAATGGGAGCCATGCCATGTTGTGATTTTAAATTAATTTTTAGACATGTATTTTGTTCTTTTCTGAAAGTGTACTAAAGTGGAACCATATCCCTTTTCAACTAGACCCTTCAACTGTGGTTTGAACTGGGTTGTCATGCTGCAAAATGATTTACCAACATCCAGAGTTGTGAAGTTCCAGTCTACTCCAGTATGTGCATAGAGTATGAACGTGTGTTTAGTTATGTTTGTCACTATCTTATTTATACAACTTTTATTGATGCAGATCCTTAAGTGTACCACTTAATCAATAAATAAGTCAACAGATAAATAAATGAATAAATTGACAACTGAGTCATTGAATGAAACAAAATAAAAAAGCCAATTGATATTACAATTAATAAATAAACAAATAAGGTAAATAAATCGATGCATTATGAATGAATAAATTAATTACACAAGTATTTAAGCAAAATGAGGACTCTCATAACTTGTGCTCTTCACCAAGTATACGTGTAATTAGAATGATAAAGTCAAGGAGGATGGGAAGGGTGGGGCATGTAACACGAGTGGGGAGAAGAGGAACTCTTGTGGGATTTTGGTGGGAAAGCCAGAAGGAAAGAGACCACTAGGGAGGCCAAGATATAGATGGGTGAACAATATTAAAATTTATCTTAGAGAGATAGGATGGGGTGGTATAGACTGGATTGATCGAGCTCAGGATAGGAACCAGTGGAGGGCTCTTGTGAACATGGTAATACATATTTGGGTTCCATAAAATTTTGAAAAATTCTTGAGCAGCTGCTTCTCAAGATGGGCTTATCTTAATGGAGTTAGAGCTGTCATCGCCCCACCTGACACCCATCCAGGAGAACCATAGTTTCTGGCTATCTGCAACTGCTTATTCAGCAGATTCACAGCTCTCTTTTATATCTTTGGACCATCTCTCCATCCACAAATAAATAAAAAAATACCAGTAATTTACTAAAAAAAAAAGCTGTCCCTATAACATGCTGTGAAGGACCATAGGATTGTGAGATGTTGAGGCTCCCACATTTTCTCTAGACAATCGGCTCACAGATGGCGGTAAGTGTGTCAACCTTATGCTCCTGCTGCCCTTTACCCCCATAAAGATTCCTGGTACTCATTTCTGTTAGAGGCTGAGCCGACCTGAGAGCCGAAGTGCAGCTGGAAGGATTAGGTCAATTGAAATAATCCAATGACTTCATCAGGATTTGATCCTGCAACCTTCCAGCTTGTAGCATAGTGCCTCAACCAACTATGCTACTGTGTGCCCCCTCCTACTTTAGTGAGCAGATAAATTAATAAATAACTAAATTAGTTAATTAATGCAAAGAAAAAAGTATAAATATATAAACATACAAGTAAAAGTAAATGACAACATAAATACAAGGAAGTAAATTAAGGAGCTCACAAACACTTAAATAAAAAATAAGTCAATAATGTGGATAAATATTTTTTATTCATTGCTGTCTAGCTAGTAGACCTGCAGAGTCAAGTAACTCTTACTTATATACAAGAGAGAGTAATAGACAGGCAATGAAAATATTGTTACGTGCAGATACAGAAAGAAATCTCAAATCATGTTACGACACTGACAATGAAAATGTCTAATGTAGGTACAGAATATTTTGTGAAAGGAGAGTGGAAAATAATAAATTATATTCAATGAAAAAGTGTACTACAAACAGACTTAAGAAATATAACTTACATTACAAATAAGTCGACATGTCCAACAGATGAGCTCTGTCAGTCCATTCAATGATTCCACTTGCTGTAATAAAACAAAAAATGACTTCACATTTACATACTATGTGTTGTACTGTATGAAAATTCTTCTTAAATATGTAAACAATATTTCCATTATTATTATTATTATATTCATTTAGTATCAGTGATAATAATGACTACCTAATGAATTATTTCGCATCATAATACAAATTAGACAATCTTGGAAAAATTGTAGTTAATAAAACTGAATTTGTGATCAAAGTAAGAAACAAAATCAGAAAATTATTTTACCCTTTATAATACATTGTAATATACAATAAAAGTTCAAAAATAGAGAAATGGTTCTATATTTTTGTGATAATAGTTTTCTGTTTTCACTGGAACATTCTTCTGGCATGGTCTATTGTGTGGATAAAAAGGTAAAACGGCATTTTGAAGGCTAGTTATCTATATCTCAAGTACTCTTTCCTTAATACTGAAGATGGGGAGTCATCCTCCAAAATATTGTACACTCTATTTATCCGTACAATGCAGTATTCAAAGATAAAATCCTCAGAAAACACAAATATTAATGATTATTTTATTTATTGGTTTTGAGGCATGGTATCATGCACTGAGATCATACAAATTAAAGATATTTGAAAATAAAGGAAGAATGTGGTTATAAAGTGAGAGCCCTGAAGGAAATATGCAAACTTAAGAAAGATGAACTAAATATGGGAATGGATGCCATTACATAACAAGTTTCTCTCTATGCGTATTACTTACCCAGAAATGGAATGTCATAAAGAGAACAAGTCCAGCCTCTGGAAATGTAAACATTCCAACCATGAACAGCCATCCTAATAAATACAAGGTCCGTTTCTGAAACCACAGTAAGTTTGTTCATCTGTTAAATGAAATTGATTGATTCATTCATTTCTTTTATTTTCCATATATCCATACAGGCAAAAAACCTAGGATGTGGAAATAGTCCCTTTGATAATAGATGTATACATATAATAAATCACATAAGTCACACAACCAAAATCACACACACACTAGTAAACCAACATAGATAATAGAACAAAAAAAAAACTTACTACAATTATAATTAATAAACATAATATAAAAAGAACATTACTATAAAAACTTAAAATTAATACAATTTCACTCAAATTACCCAAATTAACTGAATTAAATGCGTTACAAATTTACACACTTATGACCAACTATCTTTCCTTCTTTCTTTCTTTATTTCATTTTCCCGTAAATCAAAATACATTGATACAGGACTCATCATACACATACATATACATCCTCCACTTTCCACAAACATCCATACAGGCAACAGACCCAGGATAGGGAAATAGTCATAGCAAATACATACACAAAGTCACATAAGTTACATAATGAAGATCACCTACATTAAATAATAATTAACATATACAATAATATGAGGTAAAAAGATAATATCTTGATTAACAGACATAATTCACAAGTAACCACAATACAACCCCTCAAATCTCCCATACCAACTATATTAAAATATGGCGTTAAAACATTCAAATTTATGTACATTTGTAATTAAAATACTCATTTAATGCATAAAAAGAGTTAGCATGTAAAAATCTTTTTAGGGAACGTTCAAAGGATTTCTGGTTATTAGATAATTGTTTGAGCTCTTTAGGTAGATGATTGTAGATTTTTATACCTGAATAATATGCACCCTTTTGAACTTTAGTAAGAGAGTACTCGGTAAAAATAGGTTAACATTCTGTCTGGTACCAATATTATGTACCTCCGTATGTCTTGTAAACAAATGTATGTTATTTATAGTGTGTTGCATTAAGGAATATATGTATTGAGAACACAAAGGCAGAATTTTCATTTCCTTGAAAGAGTCTCTACATGAATCTCTTTTCTTTAATCCCATCATAATCCTTATAACTTTCTTTTGGGTCATAAAAGGTTTTGAAATGTATGAAGAATTGCCCCAGACGATAATTCCATATGTCATCACAGAATGTATATAAGCAAAATAAATCATTCTTAAGCTACTTAATGATATCATAGGCTTAACTGTTCTCATAATAAAGCAAGACGAACTCAATTTAGTAACAAGGTAATCAATATGATTCTTCCAGCACGGTCTATCATCAATATTTAGGCCTAAAAATTTGATAAACTCTAAGTTAGTTGGTTAATTTTGATCTATATTATTATGCATATTATGACCCTCATAGTTCATTAAAGTGAACTGCAGAGTGTGGGTTTTATGAATATTTAATTTTAACAGATTGGTTCTGAACCATGTATTAATATTGCAAAATATTCTGGTCGTGGTTGATTTGTAGTCAGCGTATTCTGGATTAGTCATTATTATACTTGTATCGTCTCCATATAAGAATATGTTTGTTCCATTAATTGAAACCTTAGTTATATCCTTTATATAGATGAGGAAAATAAGTGGGCCAAGAATTGAACCTTGGGGTACACCAAATTTTACTTCTGCCCAACTAGACAAGCTATTAATAAAACTGATACTTCTCAAGCTATCTATATACCAGTGAACCATAACTGCTGATTTAATCATCATGAACCACCATCCCTTTGCCAACCAGTGAACCAATTGAGCAAATGAGATACATCTATGATCGAATATGAGTGATGCTTTGAGGTTGGTCTCTATTGTGTGTAATTCATATGGCTCTGTCAGGCACTGTAATTACTTCTCAAGAGTTTATGTTTCTACTCTTTGATACAGAGGTTACAATTGTATTACTCAATTTATACAAGATAGAGGAACAAGTTTCACATAACCAACAACATACGGTCTGGAAGTAAAAATGTCAGTATGAGAATATGTGACAAAGTCTAAGTACAAAGTAATGACTCACCACTGTTAACCCATGAAGCAGAAGGGCTGAGAGGATGAATATGAAGAAGTAGCCAGCACACAGGACATAGGCAGGTGCAGGCAAAGTCACTGTGGCATCAGAAAACAATGAAGTATAATAAGTAACACTAAAACAAAGGGCACATCAGTTAATAAAGAGTTATTCAGCTGTCAAGACAATCCCTGTTGTTGAACTTAAAGATTTACCATTACGTTCATAAAAAGTTCAAAATAGTTCAATCCATATCACATCTTCTGAACCTTTTTCAATGAGATACATTTTAACACTATCCAACAATCTGTATGCTGATCTTCCAAGGAGTATCTTCCTCATATATTTGACGCTTCTCTTGCTTAATGGGCATGCCTCACTAACCTCATTAAATTCATAAACTACACATTATGAACTTCTTCAGTTATGAAACTCCGAGTTTCTAGAACATTTCTTGTGCCACAGTGTAAAGGAATTTTATTTCTTAAACAGGAAAACTATTTAAATTTCAGTGTCCCCAATATAGAGGCTCAAATTACGAGCTTTGGCAGAGGTTTAAGATTTTGATCTGTGCACAGAAAATTCTATACCCAGACCTCTCAAAGACTGAATCCAAGTTACTCTGAACAATAATCTGGCGTCTTTCCTGACACACTTTGTATGAACATTATCATAGAAACAGAAGATGGCATTCATGTTGTCACAGTAGCAAGGAAACACAGTGAGTTAAATTTGTGAGAACTTAACACAAATAACATACACACACTTATTATGAATGCTTTCCCTTATTTTTTGAGTTTCTTCATTGTAAGGCAGTGAAACATTATTTAAAGGTATAAGTATGATAAAACTTCATGGAAGTTGGCAATGGTTCAGGAGTAATTTGGTCAACCTATGCACAGTAGTCTCTAGAAGCTTCATACTGGATACCTCACTGAATGCATAGAAGCAAAAGTGATCTTTAAGCTACAAAAAAGAGCTATTAGAATCATGATATAAATCCCGAAAACTGTTAGTTGCAAACAATATTTTAAACTGTTACATATATTACCCTTACCATGTCTATATATATATGAAGTGTTGGTTTACATAAAGGCAAATTTAAGTGCTTACTCAATCAATTCCGAAATACACTCATACAATACAAGGAGAAAGGATAACCTATATACAGTACCATGTAATACGAGTTTATGCAAAAACAACTTTAGTAATATAGGATGTCGGATGTTCAATCAGTTACCACAATATATTAAAGAGATACCAGTACTACACAAATTCAAAAAGACTCTGAAAACATTCTTGCTAGATCATTGTTTTTATAGGGTAGAAGACTTTTTCATGGTTGGGGATAAATCAAATCATAATTACTAGTTATCATATACTTAATGAATAAATGACTTACATCTTTACAATAACATATATGTGGGAATACCTTCTGCTCTGTTTTGTTTTTTTACTCTTGCAGAGAACAGGATAGCAGGAGGTATTGGCTGGAACTACCCGGATAACGACAGATGACCATACTCTCCAACATCAATTTATAGGCCGCGCCAGAGCTTAAGTGATTAGTCGCTGGCTTCCCACCACTGTGATTTGAACAAGTGGGATTTGTAATNCACAAGGCATGATGCAAACGTTTTAGTATAAACATACATCAGCGTTTCAGAATATTCATAAGTGGGCAACTGGCACTGAATATAAAACCTGTCAAACAACAGTCACAAGACAATCACAGATAAACTCGCAGGAACATCAATTCAACCATAGTTAAAATCTAAACTGAATACCTCAATTAAATAGATACAAAATAATTAGCAATACATAATAGTTCTACTTCCTACTCATACGTGTGTATGATTACTGTCTATATGTTTATACAATTTATTATATTGTGACATGTTGACCCGTACCTCCCAAGCGGTACGTGGCGGTAACGTAACGCTCGCGTTCTTACGGTAATAGGCGAGTTCCCGCCCCGCCACTCCCCTCCGCGGTGACGTCACCGAGGGATATCGCGGTCGCTAGGCAACGCGAATCAACAGCGGCGACGTTACGATAGTAACAGCGGTGACCTCCGCTAGCGTTACATAGCAACAGAGCGCCAGGCAAAAGGGTGCCTATTACGTGGCCGTTTTCCCGTATTGTCCGATCGAGGCTACATAGGGAGAAGCGAAGGCTATTCACAGCCAGTTCTAGTGTGGCTACCGCAGAGTTGTACTGAGTCAGTCAGCGAGTCCTGGACCTATCGTCGAGTTAGCCAGCAACCAGTCAGTTGTATTGTGGCATTTGGAGTGTACTAATTGTGATACTGCAGGTAGCAGTAATCGTCAGATTGTAATTTGGGTGATTGTATGAGCGAATGTGAAATAAAACTCGCTACATCAAATACAACGAGAAGTTATTTGTCGCGATATAAGCCCGATACGCGACAATATATAACCCTTTCAAAAACCTTAGAAAAGGCTGACAATACTGAAATAGTCCTATAGTTGGTTGGCTCATATTTATTACCGCTTTTGAAAATTGGCTTAACCACAGCAAATTTCAATCTGTCTGGAAATGTTCGCTGGGCAAGGGATTGATTACAAATGTAAGTTAATGGCAAAGTTACATATGGCATACTTGCTTTTAAAATTCTAGTGGAAATTTCATCATAACCACATGAAGACTTGGTCTTCAAAGATTTGATTATCTTTCTAATCTCAGTAGTTGAGACATAATGTCATTTGATAGATTTAAAAGTAGACATGTATTTTTGCCCAGATAATATAATGGATTGATATCGGTTGGAGTTTTGTTATTGCTTAAATCATCTATAATTGTCTGAGCTACTTAGATAAAGTATTCGTTAAATACATTTGCAATGCACTTTTTATTCTGTATCATCACCAACAGAGTAGGTGTCTTCTCCCCTTCACCTGAGGACAGAATCATATCCAGTTTCCAAAACCTTGTTTTCTTGTTTCTAGAATATAAGATGATCGATGAAGTCCAAAACCCCATTAATTCTGAATACTATACACCACTGTCAGGACCCTTCAAAATCTATATGATGAACCTTGACCACACTCTGTTTCTCTACTATTCATTTTAATATTATTCTTTCAATTACACCTATGTCACTCACTGGTCTCTTTCATTGAGGTTTTCTGATTAAAACTTCATATGCACTTTTTTATATTTCCCATGTATACCCACATACCGGCATTTTATTCTGCTTCATACATCCAACATACTACTATGAAGAACAAATTATGAATCTTCTCATTTCAGAACAGGGAATAAATGTATAAATAAGAAGAACACATCAGTGGGGCAATAAATTCGATTTAGACAGGTGCTAAAAGATTGAAATTGTGGAAATGATAACTGTAACAAATAAACATTAAAATTTAATGCCCTCCAACAAGATGCTAGGTGTTTGCTGTTTCCAAGTTAGAGTTGAACCTGGTCTACATTATGTATCTAGCTACAATCTTATAAATTTAAGAATTGTAAAATACAAACAAACCTTCAGCCTCAAGTATCCACCAGAGTTCAATTGTGAATGCCACCACATATGCAACCTGCAACACAATATGTGTGATTTTATTTTAGGCTCTCAGAAAATAATATCTCTGGGCACAATAGAATTAAACTATCTGCCAAACCAACTTAGTTTGTATTACAGAGTTTCCCTCACGTACTTGACAGTTGTACGGGCTGTCAACAAATTCCCTGTCACATACGCAAATATTCGTCACTGTGAACACAAAAGCCCACCAATGGACCCAACTCTCTGCCAACCCAATCCAGTTAGTATATTCACATGTAATTCCTTAAGACATATTTTGATATTATTATTACATCTATGCCTAGGTCTCCCAAGTAATCTGTTTCCTTTAGATCTTCAAACCAGAATTTTTGTGCATTCTTGTTCCACCATGTAAAGAGATGGATTTACCGGTAAGTGGACTAACTGGCCACTTAGGGCCCAGACTTCTTAAGAGCCCTAAATTATTGTGCGAGCTTATAAATTTTAATATTTATCCATCATATTGCTTAATACAATGGTTCCAAAACTAAGTGGCACATGCCGAAGTGGTTCACGAAACATTGAAATTGATATGCATAAAAATCATGTGAATGCTCCAAAACTAAACTACCAACTGGTAAATTTCTGCATTTCTTTATTACCTTATAAAATCCATAAAATAATACAGTTAACAGTAATTATGGAAACAAGAAGTCATAAGAGTAGAAATTCTTAAAATTTGATTGTTGCACGTATTATTTTTAATGACTCAGCCCTCAACAAAGGACACAGCACACATGTAACATCTTAATGCATATAAGCCCACACACCACCAAGAATGACTCCCATCCACGGGAAGAATTGACAACCAACAACGACTTACGACAATTTGAATTAAATTTTAAATAGTTTAATAGTGATTTAATCCAAACATAAGGAATCTACTGTGGGAAAAGTGATAATTCCTGTGCTGCGTATAGCCTATTGGCATACTCAATTATTCTACAAATTTATGTTTTTATACGACGAGTACCATCATAACTAAAACCTGTGACAATAATATGAAACATACATTTGTGAATAACACAACTGAAAGTGAACATCAAACCAGCTTAATTAACATTGTCTCCTGCCATATGAAAAGTGCCTCTGATGATGGTTTTAATTAAACCGAAACATGTAAGGCAAGAATAATAAAAGTGATGTGACCTCTATTGCCGCACTGGATGGAAAATTCTATTAACTTTCTAACATATGATGTTCTTAAGCTCAAAACTTCATAAAGTCTGTTACATGATAAAATCCCTTAGGGATGTAAGAAGCTGACAGGTTATAAGGAGTATTTACTTTGCTCACTTCCATGCTTATTTGAAGTAGGGTTTAATTTACTGGGGTACCGACCCAAAAAGTAAAATTATATTTAAATTGCAGAAATGAATTGTTAGAATAATTAGTAGTGTGAATTAACATCATATAGACAAATTTTTAAGGATTTAAACTTACTTCCACTACCTTGTATGTATATACAGGGCGTTTCACGACTTTAGGGCATAACTGCAGGAGGAGATTTCCTAGGTCTTTGTGATCAAAAAAGTTCTTACAAACATGTTTCCAATTTTGGACGGTTACAGAGTTATGACCGTTTTAAACTCAGAATAGAAGTAACGATTACTGACAATAAACGGAATAAAATAATAATCCAACATAATACATGATAAATTTAAAGTATGAATTTAAAGTTAACTTCGTGAAATTACCTTTAATTTGAATTTATTGGTGCTTAAAGCTGATTTTCGAAAATGCTACCGCCGGCCGCAACACAGGCTGCCGCTCGGTTGTGAACCACTCCAGACATACCAACCCTCCCCGCCTTAGGTACATCACAAGTGTCGAGATAACGAGAGCGCTCTCTCTGTAGCTAGCTAAAATTAGCGACCCACCAGCTGACAGACGCGGTTCACACGAGGGCGTGTACAGGAATGAAAGAACGGTCATAACTCCGTAACCGTCCAAAATCGGACACATGTTTATATGAACTTTTTTGATCACAAAGACCTAGGAAATCACCTCCCGCAGTTATGCCCTGAAGTCGTGAAACACCGTGTATTTGGAATAGCATGCCATGTTAAACTACATTTAGTAAAGTTAGAACAAAATAACGTAGTTCATAATTACAATACACGCCAGAAGTTAAATCTCCATGCTCAGTTTTGCAGAACAAATGCCTATAAGAAAGGAATACTGAACATGGGAATAAAATTATACAATAAAATACCAAATAAAATTAGGAAGATGGAAAAAATGAGACAGTTTAAAAAAGTAATGAGGTCATTTTTGGTACAACATATGTTTTATTCTGTAGAGGAATATATGTTAAATTAAAGAAGGTATGTTTGTGAAAGGGGGGTATTTATTTTTCATTATAGAAATCGAACTATTGTATGTTTAATGTGTATGGAACGTTTTCCTATGACAGTGATTTGACGAGGAAGGAAGAATGGATTTGTTGATCGATTGATTGATGTGAAATGGATTGAATTGGTTACCTTGTTGAGGAATGTATGTTGTCTTAAATTTTTAAAATAGTTGTATATGGTATGTTGGACATGTACACAATTTGTGTATGTAGTTAAATATTATAGTATTGTTGACTTTTATACAAATAATTTGACTTGTTCTATATCTGGAGGCTGTATTGCAAAATGTGGATTTCTGGAACCAATGAAAATATGAATATGACTATGAACTGCAGTTTCAGAGTTGTTACATAAGTGAAGGTTTAACATACTGCACGAGCCTGTATTTAGAGGAAATCTCTGCATCCTTGCATAAACGTTACTTGATATAACGCAGTGACAAAGGATGCATAGAGTCCATAGTGACCTGGACGCCATGACGGCGCGTATATCCTCGGTGCAACAAACATAACGCCTACATAGAAAGACCGACCCCCTCCTTCGTCAGACAGGAGGCTCCATTGAGAAATACGTACATATCTAGGACAGAACAACAAACCGACCGACCGAGAATGACTGCGCCGTCGAGGACCAGCAGCAATTGTAAAAGGCAGACCCGTCATGTGGTCAGAGAGAGCTCGCCACATGAACAAACCTGCAACTGCCCAACAGTAACAAAAATCTACTCTTGGGCCTCAGATGGGACTTGACTCCAAGACAGACTTTTGACTTAAACTTAACTTGAAATGGAAGTAAATTATGCATGACACAGGCATAAGTATCAACCATGTAAATAAAAATGTACGTGGTACTGGACAAGGAGAAGCTATGCATATGAAGTGGTAGTCAGGCCTATGACAGATCAGCTGGCTAACTGCAGTTTCGGAGTAGCTAAATAAGTTGGGGCATGACCTGCTGCATAAGCCTGCATTGACATAAAACCTCTGTGTGTCTTGTATAAATGTTAGTACAGTACAGTGACAAAGGGTGCACAGAGTCCATAGTCACCTATCATGTGAACATATTACAGGCTTTCATCGCGAATATTTCCCCAAACAACGACAGTGTACTTGTTTAATATCAACTTGTTTTCTAAGTGTAAAGTGCTTCACTGTATTAGCCCGCAAATAAAATCTAGCTTCATTACGTCACTTGTACTTCTTAAATGCACGCCTTATGCCCTTGAGAAGAACTCCCGATGAAATGCAGCGGCGGTTAAATTAGGAAGTGAAGTTTTCGCTGTGAATAAATGCCATACCATGAAGGCCTACGCATCCTATAATTCGGTACTGTATGGTCTCATATGTGGTACTACGTATGATCAGCTTTACGGTCTGGTCGTTTTATGCCCGGTACCCATTTTATAGGAAGAAAATTGGAAACCACAACAAATTTGGACATTACAGCGAGCAGAAAATGTTCTTAAGTAGCCTAAATGGAAATGTATCCTTGCTATTCAGGGGTAAGCTAGAGTTACAAAATTACTTTTACACCCTATATAATAAGTAAAAGTAAAAGTAAAGGTATCCCTATACACATTGCTGTTAGAGGCTGAGTCGACCCCAGGGCCATAATGCGGCTGGATGGATTAGGTAAATCGAAAAAATCCACCTCATCGGGATTCAGACCCGCGACCTTCTGGCTTGTAGCACAGTGCCTCAACCACCTACGCTACCGCATGCCTCCACCCTATATAATACCGATTATAAATATATATAAATCAGAATACACTCATATTCCAGGAAGGTAAAAAAAACAACACGACCTATATTCTGAAGAAAGATCCCAGCAAGCAGATACCCAATAGCGCAATATCACTACCTTAGTGGAACAATAAGCGACACACATACGAGACGTAGCAGGCATAAGGCTTAAATGAAATTTGTAATAATGACTATAAATATCTCAATAGCAATTTAAATTATAATTTTAACTGTAATTTTAATATTCATCCATTTAATACCAAGTTTAATGTCTAGTTTTAACTATATTTGAACCACATTTTAAAAATTATATATAATTGTCAGTATAGAATAATCATACAGACAAAATATGTATTCATATTGATTAATGACGCAATTCAGAAGCTAAATAGTATTCGTGTAAGCCTGATGATGACCAAAGAAAAGGGTCGAAACATGTAACGATACCACCAACAACGAATAAAGACAAATATTGACACAGTAGTGTCTATTTTGCTTCCTTTTTGATTATTTGTTGTGCGACTGTCCCAAATTATATCTTTACTAAAAATATGGACTGCTGGTGCTCGCTGCTATTCCTACCAATATATGTACACCGCTTAGCAGACGGACTGAGAAGACCCACCTAAATAGACACTTCAAATAATGGAAACTGAACCAATACCTCATAAAAGTCAAGTGGACCTTCACAAGCATGACGCAACTGTATGGTTCGTACCGTATAGGCACCACCTTGTCAAGAGGAGCTTATGCTGTATGAGACTGACAAAAGTTGTGACAAGGATTTTAGTGGACTGATTAAATTTCCTCACGTTTCATTCACCATATGGACAGCTATTGTCTAAGTATTTCTTCTTCCTTGTTAGTTGGACGGCGGCCACATTCAGGTTCAG